AGGTCCTAAGATAAGAGGGTTTCTCAGCAAAAATGTCAAGCCAGATTTGAATATAAGGGATCTAATCTGGGTGGCCGGGAGTCCCACAAATAACTCGTCGGACCCCATAGGTAAGCGAGAGGTCCGAGCTGCCCTCAGGAGGCCAACCTAACCCCAAAGTGGGCCATTCCCGCCCGCAGAATTTTTGTAAATCAAAGGCGTGCACAGAGCACACGTAAGCCTCAGCCCTTTCCTTAAAATCCTGGAAATTCTCCAGTAGGCACAGGAGTGGAGTATTTTGAGGGATAGATGATGTTTGTCCCATTTTTACTGTAACAAGCGACCAAGTCGTAGACGAGGGTACCGTCCTTCGGTGGGACACTTAGCGAGAAAGAAATTCAAACTTTGCTCGGCTAGAGGTCGCAACAGCACCACAATTGCTAAATCCTGGAGAGTGGTGACCTCCAGACCAGGGGGTTTTTCCCGGGAACGGGTAAGGGTTGTTGGTGCAGGGGATAAGTTTGGAGAGGAAATAAAGACAATGAACCGAAAAGCCACAGTAATTGGAGAACCCAGCCCGCAGCCCCTGGTAGGTGGTGAGAAGAGTCGAAACTCCCCTCACCATGTCTGATGATTTAATATATCGCCCGCGCCAAAGGTCTCCGCGGGTTCTAAACCTCTGATGAAGGTTCACAGGGAAAATGACAGGGACAAAAGAGGTGCACCAGGAAACTTACAGGATGAGAGGTTTGAATCCACGGAGGGATTACAAGATAACAGAAGTCTGACCAACTATTTTCCCTCCACTTACGGCAACCAGTATCTTGACAGTCAGGCAGATGCCCCTGGGACCCTGGATGAGAGTCCCAGGGATCTGGGAAAGGGCCCTGCTTTAGGTAACAACACCAAATCCAAAGCCTGCAAAACAGACAAGTGTCAGGGGGCTCCAAGTGATTTAGCAGAGCCTGTACCTCCAAGGGCAGTTTTGCCAAGAGGACGGAAAAGGGATGGCCCTAGAACCAAATGGGGAGGGAACATTTATATCCTAGACCAGGAGAAAATAAGGAAGCTCAAAAGGGCCATGACATTGAGGAAAGTAAAGACAACAGTCTGTTAAATGAGTCAGTAGCACCCAGCAGCAAAAACAGTAGAAACCTTTAGAAACCTGAGACACGGCTCGGCGCCTGTGGCTCAACTGGCTAAGGCGCCAGCCACGTACACCTAAGGTGGCGGGTTCGAATCCCCAGCCTGGACCCGCCAAACAACAATGACGGCTGCAACCAAAAAATAGCCGGGCGTTGTGGCGGGCGCCTGTGGTCTCAGCTACTTGGGAGGCGGAGGCAGGTGACTCGCTTGAGCCCAGGAGTTGGAGGTTGCTGTGAGCTGTAATGCCACGGCACTCTGCCCAGGGGGACAGCTTGAGGCTCTGTCTCAAAAAAAAAAAAAGAAAGAAAGAAAGAAACCTGAGACACACAGAGACAGGCAGAAACCAAGGGGGACAGACAGACAGAGGAGACAGACAGACATGAAGGCAGGCGCAGAGCCGAGTCTGACTCCCACTCCGATGCCTTCCCAGCCACATCCCGGAAGGGATGAAAACTCCATCTTGGCGTAGGCAGAGACATATAAACCCCATTCCAGGTCTCCCTGAGGGGCCGCCACTAAGCAGTATGGTAAAGTCGTGGAACCCTGGGTGAGGCCCACTCGGACTCCATAGACTCAGGGCTGTGGAATCACATCCAAACTCTTTCACTCTCTCACTCGTACAAAACACAGAACACACAAAAACACAAAATATCCCAAACCAGGACCAGCCGGTAAATCCAAACAGTCTAGAAGACTGCTAATACCAGAACAGCCTAACACAAAACACAAAAGACACACAAACCAGAACCAGCACAGTCGACTGCAAAAAGCAGAACAACCCAACAGAAGACTGCAAATACCAGAACAAGACTAGCCTGCAAATCCGAACAGTCCAAAGGACTGTTAATACCAGAACAGTCTAATAAGGGGCTGCAAACACCCAATTACGGCTGTGTCCAGCCAGCTGCATCTAGCCTCTGGGTGTCCCCAAACCAGATCAGCACTGCAGACAGACAGATGACCACCCCACCCCCACCCCCGCCACCCCCAATTTACAGCTGTGTCCAGCCTCCAGGGGTCCCAGATCAGACTTACTGGTAAGAATTCCAAACCAGATGACTCTGTTACTGCCTAAATTTAGTCAATTAATTTGGCAGGTTGAGGCAGGGGGACAGAGTCAGTCTTTAACTAGGGGCTGAGAAATTCTCAGCAGCCGCCCCCTAGGTGAAAACCGGCTTCTGTGCCCTAGCCACAACCAGTGGCCATAGCCTGGGTCAAAACCCAGCGGTCTTGATGGGGCCTCCAATGTTATAGGGTGAGATTAAGCACCACTGACTCAAATTAGAATTTCAAGAGGAGTCTTTTATTAACCTCGGGGCTGCCTCAGCAAAGTCCAAAGCAGACTAAGTGAGAGAGCATGGGGGGAGCATCTTAAGTTGAGGTTTTTCTAGTTTAAAAGTTGGCAATGAGCCCAATAGGTGGTCTGAAAGTAATTAAAAAGTAAAAAGAAAATTAGCGAGAAAGAAGGAGAAAGCAAGCACAGGGTCACAATGACCCCCTTTTACAGAAGTGAACCAGCAGTTTAGCAGATTAGCCAACAGGTAACATAAAGGGTAGTTAGATAACAATAAAGTAACATAATGAAGCTCTAACAACTACTGGATAAGTAAAACAGTTTATTATAGTACTTAGCCCATTAATTGTCATGCTGATGGCACTTGACCCATCTGTTCTTATCATGCTCTACTCCACCTCGATCTGGACTGCTCTAAGAGTAATGGGGCCTGTCATTATTTCAAAGTCAGGGTTTATCCTTTCATTTTTTATTCTACACAGCCCCCTAGTGTACGTCAGTGACAGGTAATGTCCATCTCTAATGCATATCAGGGGCAATGTAATATCCATTTTATGAGGGTGCTCGGAGAGCGGGCACCCCATCTCAGTAATAGCTAAGGGCAACATGCCAGACTCAGCTATTTAAAGAGAGGAAGCTATTCTTGTATATTTTACTTATCCTACTAATTTTCACTACTAGTGCCACTGTTGAACACCTGGGCACTAGTTGAACACACTGGGCACTATGTTAAGTGCTTTACAAATCTGAGTTCTTCCCTCACATCCTCATTATCACCTCCTTTTCTAGGTAAGAAAAAATTGAGGTTCACACAGCATATAAGTGGTGATATTATAATCCAAACCCAGACTCAAAGCAAGTGCTCTTGGCCAACACAGACCCAAGAGCTCATGCTTCCTCACTCACAGAATCAGGATGGTCGGCACCAGGCTGGGCTCAGGCAAGGAGCACTAACCGGCTTACAGAACCATGCTGGCCCACGAGCACATATGATGATTTGCATCTCTAGAACCTTCATGTCCCTGTGAAGCTTCAGGCAGTGCATCCCCATGGCCTTGCCCAGGGCCTTGCCAGGGCCTGTGCTTCCACACCCTCCACACAGCACCTCCAGTCCTGTCACTTGTCCCTCAAAGTCTGTAATTCCATGTTAGGATCTTTAGGCTCTATGTTTCTGAAAATATATTCATTGTATAAATTAGCCCACATAATGGGCATAGATTAGCTGGTCAAATACACTTAGAACATTTTCATTGTAAATCTGGCTTCCAGAGGCCCAAGATGACCTTAGTAGTGGAAAGCCTGAGCTGGCAGGTTCGAACCTGGCCTGGGCCTACCATACAACAATGACAACTACAACAACAAAAAAAAATAGCTGGGCATTGTGGTGGGTGCCTGTCGTCACAGCTACTTGGGAGGCTGAGGCAAGAGAATCATTTAAGCCTAAGAGTTTGAAGTTGCTGTGAGCTGTGATGCCACAGCACTCTACCAAGGGCAACATAGCAAGACTTATGTCTCAAAAAAACCAAAAAAAATTATGTTGTCATGTCATTTACATAAGATTGAGGACGTCTAACACCATCTGAGTCACTCATAGAAACATACTTTTCTCTTCTCTATTCTTTTTTTTTAGACAGAGCCCTGTGTCACCCTCAGTAGAATGCTGTAGTGTCACAGCTCACAGCAACCTCCAACTCTTGGGCTTAAGCGATTCTCTTGCCTTAGCCTCCCCAGTAGCTGGGACTACAGGTGCCCACCACAATGCCTGGTTATGTTTTGGCTGCAGTTGTTTAGCTGGCCCAGGCCATGTTCAAACCTGCCACCCTTGGTGTGTGTGGCTGGTACCGTAACCACTGTGCTAC